ATAGTTTTTCTCACTAAATCTAGAATTTACGCAATTATCAATTTAAACATGACCACTGAATAATAGACATCCATATTTAATCCATTAGGCACTAACTTTGGAGTTTTTAGTTCGTTTTGAACTAAATTTAAATTTAATATTTATTGTCAATCACTGCCATGTCCAACACATCTCTCCATGACAACTCTTCTTAAGCTTGAAGCTAAAGAAAACCACAAATCAGGTTAGACTCCATGCACAAGAGTTCCTCACTAGTGATCACCAAATAGCGGTCACGTGGTTTTTAAAAAATAAAAATAAATTGGTTGTGATACGGACGCCGGTCTTATAAAAAAACAGCTCACAATATTTGATTTCTTTTTTCATAGACTGATAAAACTAATAATGCTTTACGTTCTCGCTCATTTCTGTACCTACACTGTTGATATTTTTTAAATTCTATTAATTTTAATGAAACCAACTTTTGAATTTAGCCTCCGTTCTCCAAACCAAATTTTAAAATGCTTTTCTGGCATATCTAACCCTGCCACTTATGGTTTGTTGTTATGACACGGAAATACCGCCATTTTGCGCGTGGTAAACATTTTTAAATGTAATTAGTTGAAGGTCTCTGGAATTTGGCAGAAAAATCACCGGAAATCAAACGTCCGGTCCGGGCGCCATATTGTTGTTAGCAACCGACCACGCATCCAAGTTAGCGAGAAATACTATTTAATGACCGTTTCACATACAAACAAACCGAAAGTATCCTGTAAGTCTACATCCATTCTACTATTTTAGGTATGAGTCATATTGTATTCCTACGCATAGCATTGGAGATAATTCAAATTATGGAGGTGAACCACCTCGGCAATCACTTTTTTTTTTTGTTATCCTTCTTGCAGTCACTTGCGCTCACTTGACCCAGATCGATCCAGATTGTGCTCAGGGCTTATTTTATTCATTTAGACTATTTAGAGTCTGTTAAAAGTTAATTAAACAAATAAAATAACCATTATATGCTGCATATTTTATGTGTATACTGTGTTATAAGTATGTTTAAATATTTCAATGATCCTTATTCAGCCTACCTATTATGCCGAGCAAGTCACGTGACCCACTTATCCTACCTGGAAGCTTGCCTGGTCACATGACTCCCGCTGAGCCTGTCAGGTCCAAAGAACCTTATGGCAAACTAGGTCATGCTTTTCCCCATCCTTCCAGTGATCTAATTAATGTTTTAAACCAAATTCCTATTTAATAAGCAATATTCTGAGTTGTGAGCGCAGTCTGGGTGGGAAAACCAATAGGGACCAAAAATCATGTAATCACCCATTTTTTTCTAATTTTAGAAGAGAAAACCCCATCAACCTTGACATGTACAGTTAGCTGTATGTATCTAGAAGCTATTTTTAGCGTTACATTTTATCTAACTGTTGATTGGTTCAAGTTCTGAAGCTAATCCCGAACTCTGTCGGTACATCCGGGAGAGTGTGAAAGGAGAAAATGTGTACCATGCAATTTTAAAAAAATTATAATCAATTTTCAGAAAAACGAAATAGCATGAACTATACATAGAAGTGTTCAGAAATGAAAATATGACGTGCCAAACACTGCGGTTTTGCATAAAACATTAAAATAAAGTAGCTATAGCCGAAAACGTGACTTAACGTGAGTGCGATCGCAGCGTTGTGCATGGTGCAGATCGGACGGCCACAGTAAAGTACTAAAATGCGAACCTCGAGAGGTAAAATAAAAGGCCGATTCTAGCCGGAATAAGATACGCATGCCGTACGCATGCGCAATGGAGAGAAACTACGACTTGCCTTCGCGGCGATGTTTTTGATGGTACTGCGCATGCGTGTATTTACAACCGCAGAACCCTAAAACCAACCCTAATCCTATCCCTAACCCTATCCCTAATCCTATCCCTAACCCTAGCCCTAATCCTCTCCCTAACCCTAGCCCTAATCCTATCCCTAACCCTAATCCTACCCCTAACCCTCATTCTAACCCTAGCCATAGGTCTGTCACTGCGCATGCGCAGAGCTATCTTTTGCCGACTAAGTGGAGACGTTGGGGAGAAAAATCTTCTTCCGAGTAGACACTTCAAAAATAAAATCTAGATCTAGATTTAAAATGCGAGAGAAGAAAATGCGAGGCATAATATTTTTTTTTAATAATAATTAATAATTATGATAGGCCTACTAATACTCTAATACCTACTTTACTAGTCTAATACATCAATTACTTGCCTAGCAAATGCTGTGGGTCATCCATTTACGTCGTCTACCCGGGGGTGGGGGGAGAAAGAATATGACTTGTGTGGACTGGGGGGGGGGGGTCTGCTTCCATGTGGACATTCACATAATGAATTTAACATCGAAGTGCTTACAATTTAAAACAATCATAAAACTTGTATGCTGCATGTAAAAAGTAAAATTAAAACGGCAGTGCTAGTGATTTAAAAAAAAAAAAAAACATCACAGCGTGTAAATAAAGCATAAAGCACTGGATTTTTACCTATTTTGGGGTCATTTTTAAAATAATTAGCATCAAGATATTTAACAATTTTTACCTCCCCTCCCTCCTGACCCTCACAAATCTAGTCTTCACTAAGAACCACAACCCTACATCTAAAATGATGTCACACCTCAGCCTACCATAACTCTCAAAACTGTAATTTTATTTAAAAAACAGCTATTTTTTTTAAATAAAATATTTACTGAACATGGTCAGCGTTGAGTAGGCCCTGATTGGTTTTCAGCGAATTTAAAAAAAAAATTAACTATGTGAAGCAACAGCCTTATTTCAGTTCTGGCATTATAATTATTGCAAAGCGTGTCGTCACATTTTCTGAAATCCTCCTCCAGGGTGAGACATCATTTATAGACGAACCTTAATAAAAAAATTTGAAATTTTTGTGGTCGTCATAAATTACTGACACATTTGAAAGTTCATAGCTAGGCTATATGATAGCTATGTCTAATTTTCCCCCAAACCAGCCGATATGAAAATCGAACTTGGGGTCACTGTGAGTCGCATAAACTTATAGATGTGGGCCTACTTCTGGTACTACACATGCGAGAATATCATTAAAGAAACAGGGCTTGGGAAATGTAGCCTACATTGTTTTTATATATTGCCATACTTTTTGTGTGTAAAAATATCATTAATAATGTTACTAAAAAATATCAAAAGAAAATTTGTGACTGATATAAAATCAAATTCATATAAATTAATTAACACTAGAAGAGAAAAAAGGTAAATTTTTACATAAAGTAACAAATTGCTTTGGTGGTGAACACAAAATCAACTTTTCGAGGCTATTTCTAATATGGTCCTACAAAAACACAATACATGGATGTGGTAAAAATCATAAAATCATATTAATTGAATTACCAGTAGGTTTATGTTTGTGATGGTGCAGCTACTTTTAACAATACAAAATTTTAAATGTTAAAAAAAGTCTGTGTCAAGTTCTTTGTAAATCATAGGCACTTTAGAATTCAGGTGCAGTATAATTTTGGCAGGGACTTCTACAGTTTTACCACACCCAGCCTACCAATAGTTGAAAGTTAAAATTTCACATGACGTGCAGTTTTGGCACCCAACACATGTTTTACCACCTTGCTATTTTGCTGTTCAAATCTCACATTTTAGACATACCCAAGAGGTAACCGGTATAAAAAATAAAACTTAGCCTAATTTTTCATTTTACTCTTTATTAATCCACATTTTAGATTCTGATTTGAATTTCTTTTCGTTGATAAAAATAAAAATAATTTAGCAAAAATTATTTAAATAATGTGATTGATCTAGATATAATCTAGATCTATCTGAATTTCAGCAATTCGACTTGAGTATGAGTTGTTTATTCATTAGCCTATTTCAATTTATTTGAAATATATAAATACCCTGCTCAATCCAATTTACAGCCGAGTAGAATATGACTTACTGCTACCTTCGTATGTCAACTGTTTTTGTTTTTTAATAATACAAAAAGTTAATTATTCTTTCTCTATTTTTTATCTTACTTTTAGCTTATCAACCATGAAACTTCACCTTTGAAACCATTACAACCTAGCACAGAAAGTACTGATTTAAAGATTCATAGGCCTACAGACTTACTTAGCGCTGATGGCCCTGATTGTAATTATGAAATCACTGAAGACGACAAAGTTGGTAACAATATTTCTCTTGTAGAAGTAGCAGTGCCAAGGTCAGCACCCGCAAATGTTGAAGGCCATCAGGTTGCAAATCACAATAGTCGAAAAAGGAAGTTTAAAGAAAATAGGTTTGTAAAATTTGTAACATTTTCTTCAAAGTAAATAAATCATAAATATGATCATATACATTTATTTTTCATCCTGTCGTTTGCTTTTTCTGTCGAAACTATGGTAAATTTTTGTATTGAAAATTAGGGGGATTTTTTACACATGTGCTGATAATAGAATGTTCTATAAAAAGTGGTGTTAACTGTTAGTTAACTAAAGTACACACATGGCTTGCTAATGTCAATGCTAACTCTAGCTCTACCTTACGCATAATCCTAATTTCAAACCATAAAACTATTCGAGATTACAATACTACTAACAACCGAAAATTGAAATGCACATTGTCAACCACTTATTTTTTTTGTGTAGTTAACTGAATATCAGTCTAAATCCTAACTTTACAATTGCAGTGAGAAGTTGCAGCTTCCAGATTCTATTCATTCTATGTTTCAAGGTCAGCATAAAAGATGGATAGACAACCCAACAGACCACAACAACAGAATTAGATCATTTCCCCACATGGAGGGCAACTGGGCAACTCATATATTTATACCAGGTTTTGTGACATTAGCATTCAATTAAAAAAAAAATTAACATTTATGTTTGATTTCATTATATTTAGTGAGCCATTCAGTTTATTTACTTTTAATGGTTAATAGTTATGTTCTAATTAATTTCTAATACGTTTTATTAAACCGGTAAAATTTGGATTGAGTCACATTTCTGAGCGTGTATATTTTCAATTTTTTTTCAGTTGACAAAGACGAGAGGTTTATTCAGTTTGTGACTGATGTCATCCAACTCTTTAAGCCATTAGAAATAGAAACTTTTCCTGAATTTCATGTCAGCTTATCAAGAACTGTAACTATCAGGCACCATTGGATTGAACCTTTAGTTGATTCTCTTCGAGAAAATCTTAAAGCTTTAAAAAGGTGAATTACAAAATTGGTCTATCAAAAGGTTAAAACTGATGTAGATTTAAAGTATGATTACATTTAGTCCATGTTTTCTTTTGTGAACTTTAAACGAACACTACTCTGACCAGACAATCTAAAAGCAATAAATTCCATTTACTTTTATCAGCACATTTCTCACTACCCCTATTCTAAAGGAAGCGGAACTATTCTTTTAAATAAACAAACTTGTATTGGGTGAGTCTTTTAAAAAATGTGCAATAAATAAACTTTTATTAACAAAAAACATACTTTTTAAAACAAAAGTAAAACCAATTTGAATAAAACATAAAGGAGTTCTTTATTTCTTAGGTTTTTAAAAAAGGGAATTCAGGATAAACTTATCTAATCCTAATGGCAGTAGCAAAGTAGAGCACTTATACTAACTGGTATTATAGTTTAGGATCAACCAACACTTATGCACCTTCCTTTATTTATAAAAGTAAATACTATCACAATTTGTATATTAATAAAAAGCTATTAAATTTAAAAGAGCTGAATTTGACAACATTGTAAGCTAACTTGTAGACATCTGGAGTTTATTGAGTAATGTCGGTTTACTGACAATTTCAATTCCTGCTGGCAATGCATTACGTCATGCATAGGCTTCACAATTTCACACCTAATTTATGCCTTTTTATTCTGACAATAAGGTATGCAGAAGTCTTGTAATGATTAAAATATCCTATTTTAATACTGTTATTTTGCTGGCTCAACTGTCAGTTCTATGTTTTTATTATTGAAGATTCGAAATTCAGCTTTATCTATAGTTAGTACTGCGAACGTTGAAGATTTTAAAATGATATTTTAAAGCTTCAAAACTTATTGAGCTCATTTCATTTTTTCTTTTACATTTCCAGTTGTATCTGTGATTTGACAGAAATCAAGCTATATACAAATGATGAGAAAACAAGGTAGGTAACTGCATTTTAAAAAAAATCATTGTATTTTATCAATAAGGGGGATAAATGGTTTATTTTTGTAATTAAACTGCAAACCTATGCACACAAGTTAAGTCTGAGAAATAATGAAATATTTGTGTTTTTTTTTAATTTACAGAACTTTTGTGTGTATAGAACTTTCACAGGATGAGCATGATCTGCTTGAATATGTAAAAGCTGTGGACAAATGCTTTGCTGAGTTTAAGCTTCCACCTTATTATTCAGTAAGAATTTTCTTTTGGATTACTAAAAAAATATAGTTGTATACACTCTTTGTCAAAATAGTGTAAATGAAAACAATTTAATTAACTCAAAGTTTATCCCATTTTAGTTATGTTGCATGTATGTTTTGCTCAATTGTAATTTGTATTTAATTTTTTTTAAAATTCTGAATTATACATACCCATAGTATTGTTCTTAATATTATTAACATAGCTTGATTATAAGCTGCTTTATCAAAGCAAAGCTTTTATTTGTTTTTAATATGTATCCTGTATTGTTATTTTTATCATTGTTTTCTGGCCTCAGAACCCCTCATTTCACATCAGTATTGGCTGGTGTTTAGGAGATGTGGTTGATCAAGTCACAGAGGCACAACTTTTAAAAGCAAAGGTAACCTTTCTTTTCTGCGGAACTATAAAAACAAGCAGAAAATAAAACCCATAATAGATTACTTATTAAAAATTATAATGAAACATGCCGATGATTATTAAAATAAATCATAAAATAGAAAAGGCTGCAAATACTAGCCTTGAAATTTTACTTAGTTGTGTTTCTACTTAAATATTTTATTTTAAACCTGTAATTATTTTTTATGATACAGTGTATTTAATTAGCTGTATTTAGTGTACTTTGTTTAAATCACTAATCAGCATTAAAATGGTTTTTTTATGTTGCTTAGAATGGTGTAAATATCAAAACATCCTCCTTATACATGTGGATTCTTTAATTACCCCAAATGTTACTAATTTGTATACTTCATATAAATGTTTACAATAAACATCTATGTTTACAGGAAATGCTTGGAGAGTTTATGGCTGCAAACCCTGAATTAAGCATCGTATTGGCACAACAGATCTGGTGTCAAGCAGGGAACAAATCATTTGTTATATCACTGAGCGATGCTAATAGATGAGTTTAACAAAACAAGCCTAATGAGCGCAATAGATGAAGTGCAAAGTCAGGAATAAACAACTTGGTGTAGTTGTAAAAAAGAGATAAATATGACAAGAGATATCCCTTACTGCAGTGATTTTCTTTTCTGGAAATCTTGGGTGTAGAAGGAATGAGCTATTCTGTCACTGAATATCCCGTAATATAGCAACCACTTGAGGTTTTGTATCCTAGTACGATAAGCTGATTTAAAATTGTCATTATGCAAAGTTACACACATTCTTATGAATTAACTTGTTGCACATGTAATGTGATTTACAGTACTCCAAGGGAATTTATATTACATCTATTGTACGTTTTTGTTACTTTACTGTGTTAAGTCAGATTTCGTGACTCTTAGTGGAAGATCAAATAAGTCCAGCTATTATGCCAACTAAAGAATAAACCTTTGTTATTTTTTGTATATTCTAATTGTTACTAAACTCAGCTTTAGCTGTCTTTATTTCATCTTATATTATTAATTATTGTTTTGCATTGATTTAATATGTATAATATTGCCTTATTTGTTATTTGTTTATTGTCACATTCAAGCTTTTTAATTGGCGTCTTTCAATAAACTAACAAAATATTGGTTAAAACTTATACAAGGTGTGTTTTACTGTTTTACATTTTTATTTTTATACTTAACTCTTGGCAAATTGGTGTCACCCCACTTCCATTTCACCTAATGGTGTCAATTTGTGTGCATATTATATGAATCCAACTAATAATTCAAGTGGGATAATCATTTTCATAGTAAATTATTAGATTTTGGTGTCACCCCTTCCCCGGTTGCACATTGACTTATCAGTTATTCCAAATACTTAATAAAACATTCTTTCCTCTGTAAATTTTGATAGTTTAAAAGAGTGCACAGTTAATAGTAAAGAAATGTATCTATAGTCTGTTACATTGGATTAACTCTAAGTAACCCTGAACTGACAAAAGGCATTTTCTTCTATATATTTTGCAAGTTTTCACAATGGTGTCACCCTCCTAAATGGTGTCAGCCGGTGCGGTCCGCAACCCCCACCACTGGAAGGGATAGTGTAAGATCCATGCTCAGCAGAAATCAGTGTTTTAAAAGACAAAAAAATGTCTAAGACTTGGCGGACACTGGGCAGGTGAAGTAGAGTTCACCGGTGACCTCAGCATTTGAACGGATAGTGTGGTCAGACCCATGCTCAGCAGAAATCAGTGTCTTAAAAGACAAAAACATATTGACACGGGGCAGGTGAAGTAGAGTTCACCTGTTTCTGTGACCTAAGCATGAGATGGGATAGTGTGGTCAGACCTGTGCTCAGCCAAATCTGTTTTAAAAGTAAAATATATTTTGTCTGAGGTGTGATGTCTTTTTAAATATTATTATGGGGTCTGGCTTTTTTGTGGGGATGTGTACTGTGTGACATGGGGAGGGGGAGGTGAAAGATAAAAAATTGTCAAATAATCGTGATGTCATTTATGGATGACCCCCGAAACCCAATTATCAGTGTTTCTTCCAGACAGTAGCGTACGCAGGGGGGGAGCGGCCGCTCCCCCTCTGGCCATTTTTAGCAAAGTGGCGCCTTTTTGGAAACTTTTTAAACTCAAAGTTTTTAACATTGATATTTGTTAAAAAATAATCTTTGGTCGGCACATTTGAAACGTAAATCTCTGTGAATATTGTTTTTTCAATTACCAGTAAAAGGTGTGTGAGCAATACAGTGATCTAACCCATACATTCTCATAAAGTTAAAAAATTATCTTTAAAAAACACAAATTGTCAGTAGCAATTAAAAAATTGCAAGATTTGAAATGTAAGACCGATATTATTGTTATACGAGAAAAATGGCCCGTTGAGGAAGGATACACCGGGCGCTAGGTTGATAGTGCTGTCTCTTTTCTCTAAACTAAAACCCCCGAAAATTTCAATTACCCCCACCCCTCTCCGGGGAGGAAAAAGTCTGAAAGAAACACTGGTGTCGCGCTTAGCCACTACCCGAAGAATTGCATTAAAGAAATTGCAAGAAAACCACTTTTTAGATTAGACACATTAATTAGGAGGTAATTTTATTATAGAGTATCGATGAAGAAGTTTCTTTTCAGATGGGGAGGGGGGGCTCAGACGTTCTTACGCGGGGGGTGGGGCTTCGCCCCTACCCGAAGAATTATATGCAAGAAACTCTTCACGCAAACCATTTAGATTAGACAAAATTTCCTTTTTTTCAATGTTTACGCGATAATCAATGACGTCATATTACTGTGTGCACTCTCTGGTTTGAGATTATGTTCTACTCTATGCTAAATGTGACCGCGTCATACTTCGTTTTTCGAATTACTGTGCATGTTTTTATTTTGCTTGTGTTTTCTCTAGAGCGTTCTTGTCAGACAGATAGATAGATAGATAGATAGATAGATAGATAGATAGATAGATAGATAGATAGATAGATAGATAGATAGATAGATAGATAGATAGATAGACAGCGAAACTATTATTATAGATGTAGGCTATTATTCCGAACGTTATTCTTGTAGAGCGAAAAGCTGGGTTTTATAACAACTCTGATTTAAAAAACTTTCATTATGCTGTAATACTTTAGCATTTATAATGATAATATATTTAATTCTGATTTTAGACAAATAATTTTTGTAAAAACGAATAGTGTTAAGCTACTTTATTAGATTCTAAAGTAATTATTGATTTGTCTTTATATTTATAATAAAATGTGTAGACATATACATATTTATATTAAGATATTGATTACTTCCCCTTTTCTCTAGTCTTAGATGTCCCAGGAATTATTATGTAATTGTTTTACAAAAATTACGAAACAGATTATGCCGCGTTCATTGTTTTTTGGTTGCAGTGTTTATATATATATATATATATATATATATATATATATATATATATATATATATATACATATATTTTTTTTAGAGTGATACCATATTTTTTTGTTTCGTCCGACTACATTTTGTGTTTTTTTTCTACAGAGTGCTAATTTAAATTTATTTTACATCATATCGAAACAATAACATACATTCTATATAAGTATATATATATATATATATATATATATATATATATATATATATATATATATATATATATATATATATATATACTTATATAGAAAATATTACATATTCGGCGCCTTTTTTGCTATTTCGGCTCCCCCTACAACGAAAACCTGGATACGCCTCTGCTTCCAGACCTTTTTTTCTAGGGGGGCACGAAATTTTTTTTTTGGGAGGGGGGGGGGAGGGAGACTATAATTTCCTTGGGGGGGGGGGCGGAAGCTGTTATTTTCTTTATAAATTTCATTTAGGTGGGGGGTAGTCTACCCACCCTACTCATTTGACCTCCAAAATGAAAGTTATCTTATATTAAGCTACAGAGCTACAGTTAATGACAGTGGTGTGCTCATATTGCTTTCATGGTTTCTTTCAAAAAGTATGCTCTGGGATGGGGTGGGTAAAGTGTATATTTTCTAATGAAATTTAAGAGAGATGTCCGAAATTGAAAGGAGAGCATTGTTGGCTTTAACTGAATGTCAACACATTCAAAATTTTGAATTATTATTATATATATATATATAGATCTATATATATATATATATATATATATATATATATATATATATATATATATATATATATATATATATATATTTAAAAAAAATTTTTATACAGAGAGATAAGCCTACAGAGGGAGGGAGGCCTATAGCTCCAAACGGTGTGTTTCGCCCCCTTAGCCTAAGCAATTTTCAGTTTGTTTCTTTTCTTTTTGAAACTTGAACTGTGTTTTGGAACATTAAAAACTATAAACACCAGTCTATGCTTATAAATAAATGGACATACGAGTGGGTAAAAATGTCTAAAACTCTAAACTTCTAAACTATGTGTAGATCTAACTGTAATTCTATTTTTAATTATTTAGACAATCCTCTAGATCTAGATCTAGACTAGATCTAGATTTATTTTAAGTTAGATCTAGAAAGAAAATATTCTAGATCTGTAGTCATTGCTCATGGAGTAGATTTACTTTTTGTCAGTTTTTGTGGTTTCTTTTGTCACACTTGTCACTTGTGATTTTCAGATTTTGTGCAAAAAAGTTTTTTTTTCAGAGTTGTCTTCAACGTCCCAACACATTGTGATTGTGCTAACTGTAGTTTACTGTAGTCTGTACTTAATTTTAATTTATAATTTTCATTAGGCCTATAATATTAATAAACCCAGTCTGACATCTGAATCATCCACTACTCCTGCGCCTTAGGTGCCCTTAGTTTAGTTAGGCCTTAGAGCCTTAGAGTCTGGGTTAAACTCACTATTTAGAATCTAGTATTTTTTTTAGTATTATTTAATATTTAACACTCACTCTTCTAGCTACAGTGTACTCTAGATTAGTATCTAGATCTAGAGGTCTATTTGAGAATTATGGTTATGTGTAGAAGAGTATAGTGTGTAGGCCTATTTATTTTTAGTTGGGCTACTTTATTAGTACTTACTTAGTATACTACTTACTACTAGATCTAAATCTACAGTAGAGGAATGAAGTTATCTTGTTAGCATATGTTTTTAATGAATTGTTTCAAATCAAAATAACTTTGAACTTTCGAAACATTGTAACATCTGTTTCAGATTTTAAAGCTACCTGTATTTTAATTAAAAATGAGTGGCCAATTCAAAGCTTTTGTGACTGAAAAAGAAGTTCAAGAGCAAAGGGACCGCCGTCAAGCTGAGTGGGAAAGAGTTAGAAAACCAGAAGATCCTATAGGTAATTAAAGGCCAGTTTTGACTGTTGATTTTATATTAGACTAATTGTATTAAATTATAATTTGTTAAAGATGGGGCAATGTATCCCACAGTTATGCAGTGGGAGGGTTTATACTACCATCAAGTTCCTCTCTAACCAATTCAGTATTCACCATAGAGCCCCGACAAGTACGATGGTATAAACGTTGACTAATGACTTGACAGGATGACATTATTTAACTTCAAGATTTATTGCACCATAATAATACATACGACGACTTGAACAGACGAACTGAGACTTGACTACTTACACAACCTCACCCTAAGACAACAAGAACAAGACTACCTAACCTTCTTCCCGGCAACAACAATCCTACACTGAAATGTTACATTCTTGTGTCCTGCATTACATCTTCATGCGTTCATTATATCTTTCGCACCAATAAATGTTCGCAACAACATGCCTGATCAAACACACATCAGAACGTAATAAATTTCAGTTATTGTGTAAGCTCCTCTTAACACATTATTATTATAAGAGAGTTGCTAATATTAAATTTTCTAATAATATTTTAAATCAAATGAAAAGTTAATATAATGAACTAGATTATTATCTGTTCTTTTATAGACTTCGGCTATTTGTAGTTCACTACAAATAGTCCTATGAGGGATATTCGTACTGTGACCAATCAGCGCAGAGCATTTTTCTTTGATTCTTAAATTCCCCTATTTATGCAATGTAGAGCTATTTTTTTTTAGATCTAACCTTATCACTAACCCTAATGCCTAAACCTAACCTTACCCTAATTCTCATCCCCAATGCCTAACCCTAAACTTACCTTAATGCTAACCCTAATGCCCTAATGTCTAACCCTAATGCCTAACCCATCTAAACCTACCTGGGAACTCTAAACTTATACCTAACCTCTACCCAACTCTAAACTTAACCCTAATCCCTATACCTAAAGTAAAATTTAAAAAAACACAAATAAAACTCCGAGCCAAAAGGAATGGAACCCCGCAATGAAAACAAACCAGCTGATGTGTAACCACTTCAGCCACCTGAATTTGTTAAAAAAGTCGAGTGTCACAAGCAAGATAAAAAAAATTAATTATGCATGCATGTGCAGGACAATAAATGTAATAATAAATTTGATTTGTCGGCTAAAAACAGCGAACTACGAATAGCCTGCTGAGGGCCATTTGTAGTTAACTACCAATAGACACCCCATTTTAACATGAGTTGAAAAGAAGTTCTAATTTATGGGATAAAAGTTTTGACTTTTCAAAAATATAAATTTTTTTCTATCATCTGCGTTGAATGAAATACCTTTACTAATTTATATGGAGCAAACATATCTCATCAGGGTCTATTACTCTACAGAATGTCCAGAGGAGGAGACCAGGTCACTTTTTGACCAGTTACAAGCTAACAAAGAACTGAAGGATAGAGAGCTTGAAGATGAGACTAAATTACGTAAGTTGACTATTAATATAAAACCTTTTAAAGAGTCAGTGTGGTCTGTAAAGCTCATGGTTGCTAAACCGAAAAGTCTCGTGTTTGACCGCTTGGGCAGATGAGGCTCGTTAGCTGGGGACAGCCACTCTTCTAGGAGAAGTTGAAGAAGTTTTCCCTTTCAAACCTGATGGTCTATGGGGCAAGTGAAGTAGAGTTCACTTGTTTCTGTGACCTCAGCATATGAAGAGATAGTGTGGTCAGCACTATGCCCAGCCACCTTTACTTTCCCTAACATCAGAGTTGGGTGGACTCAGGGATGGTCTACTTACTTGAACCCGGATTCGAACTCGAGACTTACGGGTTAGCAGTCCAGCTCTCTACCGCTAGACATCTCCGCCCCTTCTAGGAAAGACAACTCCAAAATCAAACAACTGCTGCCTTGTAGTTTGTTCTTGATTGGACAAAGGCTATGGAAGGCAAATCCAAAAAGAAAAGCAGGCTGAAATCGGAGTCAGTGGCCTCAATGGCGCATAACCAGTTGACACGTATACTTAGTTGTGTTGGAAGGGTTCCCTTCCAACACTAAAATTAAGAAAGAAGAAAACCTTTTAAATTTTGTCATCAAAACATCCATCCCTAGTACACTAAAAAAGAAATAAAACTCACACATTCTTATTGTTTTGTGCACACTAAAAATATTCTTTTTGTAGGTACAGTTATATAGTGGGTTAGTCGATAACCAGAGCATATAATTGTAAAGCCATGTATTGGCTCATAGGGTTTTTGTAGGCAGTATGTTAATAAACCCTTGTCTAATAAGTACCTGACTTGACTTAATAGAGTAAAGGATGTCATAAAAACAAATGACCTTCAGGTCTGAAATGTGTGTGAAAATCTCTATTTTGAATTTGTGTTATTTTCCCTACAGGAAGTAGTGTAAAAGGTCTTGATGATGACGAGGTTCAGTTCCTAAACTTCGTGTCAAACAGGCAGGTGCAGATAGAAAAGGATCGGAACATGGAAGAGAAGTCTGTCATTGAAGAAATGAAAATATCTTTTTTTTAAGTCGCATTTGTGTTAAACAATAGCTTTTCTTCAAATTCAAATAAGTTTATTTTTTAATAATTGCTCACTGGATGATCCTAGTTGATTAGATTATGCTATGATTTGTTTATATGAAATGGAGTTTTGTGTGGTTGATTATCTTAATTTGATAGAAGATCTTTTTTGTATGTCAGTTTTTTCTTAACGAAATCGTACAATGCAAATGTAGTAAAGGTAAATGAGAAAAAAGAAAGATCTCCAGACAGCAACAAATCATCAAGTTCCATCACAAAGTCAAATTCACAAAAGCTATTATTGCAGGGTGCAATTAAAAGGAAAAGGTAAATAAAGGGTTTGCTTAAAATATCTTGCCTGTTTTTTTTTTAAAAAAACAATCTGCTCAGCTCTCTTGTAATTGGCAACACTTTTTTTTTTAAAGTTAATTATTGAATATATTAAAAGGTATCATTTGAGCTCGACTCCAGAAAGTTTAGCTAAAATACAAAAGCTTGTGTCGGTCTCAAACCTAATGTAATGCAGTTTTATAATGCAAAACTATTTATCATAGATTTTTTTAAATTGACTGTTAAAATTTTAGATGAGTGGTCTTTGTTTTTAATGGAAGTTGATTATCTTAAGTCTTAATGATTTGTCTTTTCAGTACAACAGAAGCGAACTCTGACACAGATGATAAAAAGCAAAAAGCGAATGGTGACAGTAAGTAGATAGGTCATTGTTGATTAGCGTAACTAATTCTCACAAAGGTTTTAAATATTTTTTTTAATTTGTATGCCAATTAAAAAAAAATGTTTCACAAGACATGTATTGGTAATCTGTTTGGGATTGTTTTTTCACCATGTTTAGTTGTCTTTTTGTCATACTCCACCACAAAATGAGTAATTTTAGACCACTGGTTATAGACAAGAGGTCCAGATGAAAATGTGCGAAGCAGAGTTTAAGATATCAATTTTGGGATTTTTAGTTGTTTCTGGTTATTTATTTACGCATACATTTTTGATATAGTATTAAAGAAATGACACAAGTTTAAATTGTTTAATCATAAAATGTCATGTTTGTTTCTTTTTGAACCCTTTATTCTGTAAATCAAAGATCAAATCCCAACCAGATGTCTGTGATTGAGTCTGTGAATATCTACCCAGATTAGATGGGTAGCTGAAATTAGTCTGTAGTAAAATGTTGAGACATGTTGGTCCAAGTATTTAAAAAAAAAAATCTAAGAAAAAAATTAACCTTGGTTTGAGTTCAGATGGACATCTCTTTGTCGTCCTACCCCTGCTCAGATGGGTACCTGGCACGAGTGAAAACGCGCCTCATTCAGTTTAGTGAATGACTATAATGCCCCATTCTCATGATCATAGAAACAAATGCTCTCTAGTACATTTTCCCCCATGGACAATTTTTCAAGAAGGGTGCTAGTTTAGCCTCTATAGATGAACTGACCAAAAGCTCTTCTTCTTCTTCTTCGTTCTTAAATTTTAGTGTTGGAAGGTTGATCGAGCCTTATCTGCCAGAGGGTTTGAACTCGAGACTTTTTTCTAACTTATCAACCATGAGCTTTTGCCGAATCGACTACGCCTCAATCACAATTAAGGATACGTGTCAACTGGTTATGCGCCTGACCCAAAGCAACATTCTTTGTTTTTGTTGACTGTTATCTGTGCCATGTTTCAGGTGATGATCCACCAGACAGCAAGCTGATGGCAGGGATCCCCAAAAACAGTGGCATAATGGTTGTAGCCGGCATCCTGCCAGGGATAGCTGACTACGGGGAGGAGGACAGCAGCACGGAGAATGAAAGTAACTCAAGCGACTCTGAGGCTGACCACATGATCCTACCCAGTGCTCCCACACAAAGGATACTGCAGGAAATGGTACAAAGGCTAAAGGAAGAGGGCTGTGGGTAATGTTAGTGCTTTAGAAGGATGGGGCGGGAGGGTCGTTTTGATTGATATAGGTTGCTATTAGTGGTACCAAGGCATAAGAACTAACAGCTTAAGAATGATGTTGTTTAACTATATTTCTATAGTGTTATAAATTCTTGAATAAAGCTTTCAGTTATTAAATTTTCTGGAATTAGTCAAGGAGAATTTAGTATAACTAAATTAAAAAAATGTTTACCATAGTTATTAAAGTAATCTTTAATTTGGAATGTGTAATGTTTTTGTTGGGGCAGAGTTAGTTATTGAATCGTATTCAATAAGCTGATCTGTTTAAACACATTTAGAAAAAAACTGTTGTATCATAGAAGTAAAAAATAATAACCTCTAATAAAAACAACAAAACAGAGATTAAAGTTGTCATTTATTATCTTGTGATATTTACACCATTAAGATGTGCATAAACACAAAGGACAGAGCACATAAAGTAAATCTAGTCCATTGCTAACAGCAAAATTATAATAGCAGTCCAAAACACAATGTGTTTAAAGAAATTCTTGTGTGTGCAAAAATTGTATTAGCAACAGATTTTAATAAATTTTTTCCAGCAAAGATGTAAGAAAATATTTTTCAAAGAACACAATTTAGAACGGATAGGTATTACAAATAAATCTTAATAGACAGAAATATATTTAGGGAATTCCAATCGCAAAATATAAAAAAAAACATTGGATTTTGAGTTGAACATTATTACTGAGAAGAAGTACAGAAATGGATTTACTGAAAAGATTTTTTAAAAAGTAATATTGTCAACAACATGTATAGAGTATGCTGGTCAAGGCTGCGAAAAAACTTCAGTTAATCAAAGGCTCTATTGTACTCACCGGGAGATGGGCCAGGCTCCAAAATTTTTATGCACAAATTTTTTTCACGAATCTTAACTAGAATAGTAGTATATTTATATAGCCTATATATTTACTTGTCATTTATCTTTTGTTAAAATAGAAATTTAGTAAATTTTAAATTAGTTAAAATAAAAAAAAAATGCTTTTTTAAAAATCTTTATAACAGTAGTTAACTTATGTGCTTGTTGATTTCTAATAATAGCAGAGTTCAAGAAAGAACTAGAGTTATTGATATGCATCAACTTTTTTTTTAGCCTATTGCTAGGCAAAACATTTTAAAATAGGATGTTTTAAACTTTTGACTACATTATTGAATGCCCACAATTATTTATCTAACAAATGACATTATTAATGACTTCTTAAATTGACATAAAAAAACATTAGCTAAGCTTATTAATTAAATTAATTTTCATTGAGTTTGATTCTGAGCATGCAGATTGAAATATGAGCACCCAAACTTTATAAACAGAATAAATACTAAAGGCACATTGAATAAACATAAATTGTTTATTCAAAATGATAATTATTTAAAATACTGACTGATATTTTAAAAAATTATGAATAAAAATGTAATATTTTATTGTCCCCAAAGAAGTACATGAAAGAATCACAGCCAACAAAAAGAATTATTTAGCTCGGAATGTCTTTTGAAACATTGAGTCAGACTACACTATTTAAAAAAATATAATCCCAAATGCCACTAAAGCAAGCTTAACTATTTATACTTAACATAAAAATACAAGTGTCATTGCAACAATAGTCTAAAACAAATAGCTGCTTTTCACTGTAGGCTTGAGAAAAAGCACATCAAAGAAAAAACCATGCTAACATGATAGTATCCACGTTGTTTACGTTTCTGGTAATTTTATTGAAGTTGTCAATATCAATGAAATACTTCGTGCAGTTAAATTAGTACTTTTTTGTTATTTTACAAACTTCAATAACTCTGCCCCAAAAAATGGGCAGTTTAAAACTTGGGTTATTTCAAAAGAAATACTTCTGATAAAAATAATGCTTTACAGAGAACAGACAATTGTCTGTAATACATAATGAGCAAAAAAGGATCAAGCATAATTAAAAGTTCAAAAATAAAAGTGCACCCATAACCTTGTAGTGATCTCCCCTTACTCACAAGTTGGTTTTGCATTTAAGCAGAACATTTAAAAAAAAAATACATTCACAAACAATGGCACATTGTAATATTGTAATGTTAATCTTTTTCAATGACTACCAATTTAAATCCCATCCAATTACTTTACAGTTCCTGTTTTAACCTAGAAGTAAATTGAACTGAAATAAAAAATTGTTTTCTCAGCAGGAAGTAATGAAAAATGAGTTCTACTTAAAATTATCTTTTTAATTTCCATATTAAATTGAAAAAGGATGTTAATTAAACAATCTCTGGTAATATGAGTATGGTACAACAAGTTTTCTTTCCTTTTATTATCAGTTACGGGGATGGTTTGGTTGGTTTTGAATATTGTTGACAGCGACTGGGAAAAAGTTGGCTATTTGTCCATTAGGTGTGATCACTGCCGCAATAGTATTGTGATCGCAGTTGTCATTACCTCCCTTATTGGCGTTAGACTGAACTGGAATGTAACCCCTTTGAACAATCCAATAGGCTGTTGCCATCTCCGAATCAAAGTAGGAAGGTGGGCTGTCTGTGAATATTTGCTGGTTAATCTCTGAATTTTGAAGGTTCGTGAATTCAAATCTGTTTTGTGGACTTGATGGGTGGATGGTGTGGGGAAAAAATATTTGGTTGGTGTTGAGGGATTCGGCACGGTGTCGGATTATAGAGCGAGGCTGACTGCCGGAGGTGCTGGTGACAGTGGATATGTCCATGGGACTGTCACTTGATGATATTGTGTTCGCTGTTGATGGAGTGTGGGATGATCCCGTACCGTTGTAGACACTAAAACGGACACGTTTCTTGTCAAATTGGACTGAAGACTTGTCAGTTCCCATGTCTTCGGATGAATCCATTGTGGAGACTCCGCCTATGTCGCTTTCTGCTTCAACTGAAGTCAGATCTCGGGTGATGTGATCACGGTTTATTTCATTGAGATTCTGTACCCTGTTCTCCCCTGTGATGTTTGAGTTTTGGGGCGGGGTTACCTCTTCCTGCATGGGCTGGATGAAGCAGTTCTGAGACTGTTCACCCAGCAGCCAATTGGCAACAAACAGTTGGGAATAAGGTGGCGGTGAGGGTTGGAACACGCTCTCATCACAGTCCTCGAGAGCCGGCGCCGTGGGTTCTAGATAGTCAGAGAAGGTCTCAGTGACCTGGGATATTCTCGATTCCATCCGGCTGATAAACGAGTACTCAGTACAACAAGATTTATTGGACGGCTCGTTACTTGGACACAGCACCGGATCCACAGGACAAGTGCCATGGGGGACCTCATTCCCGTTGACCAGGTCTTTATGAAAGCTGGGCAGAATCATCCCTTTGCAAACATCATTGCAGGTGTGCCAAGAAAAAACATCCTTAATCCCTTCCATTCCCCGGTCCTTGATGCCGAACTCCCCAGTCAGGGAATGAATCGTCGGCGTCTTCAGAAAGTAACCCTCCTCGTCATGCACGCCCTCCAGCCCACAGATGACCAGCCCACCGTTAGTGTGGTGGTACGTGAAGTGAACAAAAGCTTCCAAATCCGCAGTAGCCAGCTCATCTTTCTCACCCTTTGAGTTGATATACAGGGTCAGTTTCCTCAGCTTGCCTGGCTTGTCATCATTCACACGGACGTCGTCCTCAAACAGGACAGCCTCCCTCGTGGACAACTTCCTCTCCCCTGTGAAAAACAGGAGCTTTAACTTTGAGACCTCGTCCATCAGAGCCCAGTAGACCGTGGTCATCTTCAGCTTCTGGCATTGCTCCGGGGCTAGTTCCCTGAAGGACCGAACCAGTTCCTTGGCTTTCAGAGATTTCTTTACTTCGCAGCTGCATAAGCTCTGGAATAAAAATTCAAACGATATCATTAACTTGGTTTTTTCTAAAGTAATTCATTATTAGTTTATACTCATTGGTAGGCCTACATTATTACCACAAAAATGTATACCAACATATATTTTACAAACTCTATAAGTATAAGAAGAAGTATGCTATGCTTTAATGTAATGTTACAAAGGTTGTAATAAGAGCAATGGAGATTGCAAAGTTACATATTTCTACATGCTTTTAAATGTAATGTTTTAAAAATATTTTGAGGCTTGTAATATCAGAATTGCAATGTTATGCGGTCAGGTTTTTAAATTCAATTATTGTAATGTTAAAAGAAATCATTGTAATGATTTAGTTATGGTAATTTTACAGTAATAGTATTGTACTGTTACAAGAATATTATTGTAATGATACAAGAATCACAATACCACAATCATTATTGCTTCACCATTGAATAAGATAGGAATGCATAATCTACAAGACCTATTGAATCAAAAAGGTCAAACTGACCTTGGTGCCCTGACACTGTCTGAAGACCTTGACCACACACTTGTCCCCTGACTTTGGTCCTCGGCCGTTCATGCGCCCGTTGTAGACCTTGAACTCGTTTCCCTTGGAGAAACTTTTCTCTTCAAACGACACCCAGTACGTCTCGCCGTCCCCTTTATCTTCAGACTGGAGAGTACAGTTCTGGAGGCTGGAGGAGGGAGAATGAAATGTTACACTTTGCAAATTCGTTGTATGCTTTGGTCATAGAAACAAGTGAGCTTTACTTCATCTGCCTCGTGATCCCAGTAGCGTAGCTAGAGGGGGGGGGGTGCGGGCGGGGAGGGAGGGACATATTTCCCCGGGCACCGACGTCAGGGGGCGCCAAAATAGGTTGGAAAAATAAATTGAAAGGTCGAGGGGGGGTGCAAATCGAAAGTTTAAGGGGGGGGGGTGCAAATCGAAATCTTGAGGGGGGGGCGGTGCAAATCGAAAGTTTGAGGGGGGTGCAAATCGAAATCTTGAGGGGGGGGGGTGCAAATATAAAGTTTGAGGGGGGGGGGGGTGCAAATCAAAATCTTGAGAGGGGGCGGGGGTGCAAATCGAAAAGTTTGTCCCCGGGCGCCGGGAAGGGTCGCTACGCCTCTGCGTGATCCGTCTGATCTGAAAGAGTACCTTACCTGAACATTGTCCCATAAGGTTTGCTCTTAAGGTCAAGGCCGTCCTCTCTCCATTTGCTCAAGTCCTCGTCGTCCCATAACTCTTTACCAACATCCGGTGACTTTGGCCGAGTTTTATTGTTTCCCTTGTCGTCTAACTTCTTCCGGTAGATACCAGGGGTGTCTGTATCTGCTAGCAATGAATCAAAATGGCCGTCTGCTATGTGGGAGCCGTCTGTCGTCTGCTTAGACAAGCAGCCGATTTGAGCCTGAAGAAGTAAAAGAAGGATGTTGTTATAGAAAAGTTATTGTTGCTTTTGATAACCTGACACGTCCGCTCATCCCGAGCGCACACTAGTAAGTAAATGAAGTTCCCTTTCGAACCCCCAAAGAGATGCCTGGAAGAAACTCTGAAGAGGAGAGTAATGATGACTGTATAATCTGTAGGATTCGTAGAAACATGTATCGTGGCTGACTTGCTACAGATATAACCTGACTTTACCACGTCGTCTCTACTGTCGGTTTTTGTAAAGTGCAACAATATGCGCGTCGCTTCATTATTACACTATTATGACAATTTATTACAGTGTAGTAAAGTTCATCTTTAGACCTAGCGATCCATTGTGCAGTTGAAAGTAGAGCTCATATGCTCTTAACTTGGGCATATGGAGGGATGGTGTGGTCAGCACTATACCCAGCCGCCTTTACTTTCCCCAAAGTAAGTCAGGTACCCATCAGAGCTGGGTGGACTGTGGGACGTCCTACAGTCACAAGTGTAAGGCTTAAGTCAAATAAAAACGTACTTCAGTCATATAAAAACGTACTTTAGTCAAATCAGAACGTACGTTAAGAAAATAATGGTAATTCTATAATCATCTGACGCATGACTTTGATTTCTTCTTGACTTAAAATAAATAATCCTCGAAAATCTTATTTTGAAAACCACTTAACCACTAGTTAAGTAAGTTTAATATGTAGTACGAGAGGGGAAAGAAACTCATCATAAACGACACAGGAAGTGACGCAATGGCTGAGTATATCCGTAGTTTTTTAAAAACATATTTTGAGTATATTGAGTTTGAGTAGAGGCTTAAAGAATCGAACAAGTCTCCATGTTTTTTTTTCCACACACGTTTTAAGCATTAGGTTTTGAAATCTATCTATGATAGATTTTAAAATCTAATGCTTTTCAACAACTGATTGATTTAAGAATAGCAACACCAGACAGGGCCCTGAGTTTCTTTTCAGTATCTCTTCGGGGGGGGGGGGGGGGGGGGTTACATTTCCTCCCTCCCGTCTACCCCTACCCACCTCCGAAGAAATAGAAAAAATGTACTTTAACCAATATCCGGACCCCTTCCCCCCCCCCCCCCAGAAAGTTTGAAGTGTGCACCTCTGGAGAAAAATGTCTGAAAGAAACACCGTCAGGTCTGAGCCACCTCTACTGATTATTGTAATGATATACAAACGACACGGTATCATCATTAATTATAATGAATTACACACAGGCCAACTATAATATACAGTGGCTGACCGGAGGACGGTAATTAATTAACTAATTAGGAGACCACCACACGGTTTTACATAATTAAACACCTGATATAGGAGCGATAACGAATATCCGCTGATACGGTCATTCGACATTGACAAGGTGAACAAAATACCCTTCACACCCGCGAACCTGTAAGTCCGGCCGATCGCCAAGGTTGTAGAAACGGTTGGGGATCGTGGAAAACAAAAGAAAGATAGAACTCAGGCTGGGGAGAGGGGGGGGGGTGCGGGGTAAGTTGAAACTGAGTGAACATTTTAGATCGTCATTAGTGACTTATGGGAGGGGGGGGGGGGCGCATGTCATGACATAGTAACTTTTGGGGGTGATACATTAAAAAGTTGGGACAACTAATACTAATAGTAGGAGGTTATTTAGGTAATTGTTACAATCATACTCGAAATTATTAGGTAGGTCTGGTAACGAGTATAATATAAACGACTTTATTAAATCGTAAATACAACACTTGGTAGTAAAAAAAAATATAAGAAAATTACTTGTAAAAAGCAACAACAATAATAATAATAAAGAAGGCGAGGTAATCGGAAATAATCAGACAATGAGACGTCACATAGGCAAAAAAATAAAATAAAACGGTTTTAATAAAAGAAGGCAGAAAATGCAATCGCTATAAGAAAAAGCAAAGTAAATTACTAGATCTACAGTAAAATCACAAAAATGTTCTTGCTAAGTAACTTTTAATATAACTTCTACAGTATTATGACACAAAATGTATGCATGCTGTTACGTTAGCGGGGTTGATGAAGTCATGTTTGGGTTTCACGTGGGCCCATGTCAGACTGACGCAACTGTTGTGAGTTTTGTTGTATGCATGCGTCATGCAAGAATGTCTGCCGTGCCATTCGGTGTAATGAGATCATGTCGTCTGTCATGCGTTGATGTCGTAAATCTGTGTCAGTCATAAAAAAACACAAATCCCACCCGCCGCCCACACGTTAAACTTGCCAGAACAAATTTTCACTGTCATGTGAAAACAAAATGGGCCGTAATTAGGAAATTGCGTTCTGCGAAAGGATGAGGGGGCGATGATTATTATTATTTTTTTTTTTTTGGTTGTTGCAGTTGTGAAGGGTGGATGATTCATTATCATCTTGAGTACATAATACTTGCAGGTGCGCCTACTCGTTTAGGTGCAAGGTGCCGATGTGGAGTTGTGGTCCCTGATGTTGACAACCTAAGCGAAGAGTTACGGTCCTTGATGTCGACTAGCTAATTTCAGAAACTGTTTTGTATTTTTACAAGAAATAATTTTCACTACTTTTGTCTAGTAATTGCGTTGAAATAATAACTTGAAAAGTAAAAAAAAAAAAAATGGATAAATATAAAATCTAATTTACTAAATCGTGTGGGGAAAAAAATAAAGTTTTGTATATATTTAAGTTTAAGCCGTTATATTAAAATTTCAAAATTTTTAAAATTTCAGCTATTGCGTCGTATAATATGTGTCATTATGATGTATTTTCCTACCGTCTTTTACAGTGTTACACTAGTAGTTTGATAGTTTACAAAATACGATAATCTAAAAGTTCTTATTCCATGTATATTTTTGTGAATAGAAGAGATGAAATTAATGCGTTGGATGATAATAAAATTTTATATAAAAAAAAAACTCCACGTGAAGCTTGAGTTAATCTCCACAATGCCGTAAATTTTAATAATAGTGTGGTAATGAAGCGGCGCCACCTGGCGGGGACAAAGAGAGGGAGGGGGTGGCTGTCGTAGGTAAACAGACGCGGCACGCGCATCACATTGACCGAGCACACAACAAGAGGGCACGGAAGTGCTCACGGCGAGTAGCATGGTACCAGAGATCGACTAGCAGGCACAGACTGTGAAGTTTACAGTATCTGACAAAGCAGTCAGGAGAATTGTAAAATAAGAGAACATGCTGTGTGAGGAGGGGTGGGATGGGGCAGAGAGAACGGGGGTGGAGGAACAAAATCGATATGGCGTCACGCATGCATGATGACGCGTGCTCAGCTAGAAAATATAAACTGTTTTTGTGTCGCGTTAGGTCGGCCCACGCGTGTAAACTAGAAACACGAGTGGTTTGTAGGTCAATTAGGGGCACAGATGTTCACGTGTGGCATATGGACATGGGAGGTGGGTCTTGAATGGGAGGGTGGTCTAACATGGGAGGTGGGTCTGACATGGGAGGGTGGTCTGATGATGGTAGGTGGATCTGATATGGGAGGTGGGTCTAACATGGGAGGTGGGTCTAATATGGGAGGTGGGTCTGACATGGTAGGTGGATCTGTTTTGGGAGGAGGGTCTAATATGGGAGGATCGTCTAACATGGGAGGAGGATCATTTTAAACCGCAGCAGCAGATGGCATTACTGTCGAGTTAAGCTGTGACCCATTTGTTCATGTTACAGAATATAGCTATAGTCAAATTTCGTATTTAAAATGTGGTACAGCTTACCAACACGGCTTAGTTAACAAAGTATCTTATATGTGACGGGATTTTTCTATCGAAAACTGTTTGAAAGCGGAATTTTCACGTATAAATTACTTTAAATATTTGTGTCATGTCGTCATTTAGCGTTATAGATCACGTTTTATTTTGATACTCCATCTACTATATATATATATATATATATATATATATATATATATATATATATATATATATATATATATATATATATATATATATATATATATATATATTTCACAAGTTACAAGTTCAACATGTTAAATAAAAACATTTTTATATCGTCTCCACACAATTAAAGTACAACTGCAACAAATACAAACGAAATATTTCTTGTACTAATCATATGTAAAAAGGTTAATCATCTAATTAAAGTTCCTAACCTTCCCCTTCCCACATGAAAAGCTGAGTATGTCTGCATCGAAGTTATAGTACTGTGCTAAAATAACTACATCACCACTAATCCTAAATGCAGCAACAATTATAAAATCAATATCGGCAGAAAAATAAAATAAGAAAAACATACAATACTTGATGATTTATCGGTAACAATATATGCACTTAAAATCTTACACTAGGAATCTAATATGGTAAAAGACCAGACCACAGCATCAACGCTATGCAAGACGACAACAAAGACAGCAGCTCACTAGAAGAAAGCGACCGGCATTAACAATACGACCTACTCCCTAAAATCTCAAGTTAAATAGATACGTCAAGTCTTTCTCTGAGTAGATCTACTTAATAATAAACAAACACATAAATAAACAGATAAACAAAACATATGAATGGATTACTGTCAACAGAACATCCTCTATCTAGTGAAAGTGTCGCTCTACTTACATCGATGTCAGCCCTCTGCAACTATCCACAGAATGAATAAAACCGGAGACCAACTCGCTACCCGGCGTTATGTAACGCGTGCCAGCGCGCGATCAATATATACTCTCCAAACCAACAACTTTCTGTTGTACAGTTCCGTCCTTAATACGCGACCAATCGAATCGTCTGCTAGACTTTATATTATCACCCCACCACTACACGAATTCATTAAACGTCACTACGCAACTCATTTTTTTTTATTTCAGTCTAACGAAAAGGAACGAAAACTAAATTATACCATTTGTTGAGATAACGAACAGAGAAGCTATTGTTTGAGTGGAAAGAGGGAGGGGTAGTGGTGGTGGGATTTACCCCCCCCCCTCTTATTTTAATGGGATAGTTGCTCGTGTGATGGTGAAAGTATCTAGTTGCTATGTTGGT